AACTGTTGAGGATAAACAAACTCATAGGGACATGAATTTTATTCAATCTAACAAACATGTTGTTTATTGGAAAACTATGAGAAAGCTTGTTCTAAGTGCTAACGATGATAAACGTTATATAATGGATGATGGAATAAATACTTTAGCTTACGGACACTATAGACTAAAAAATGTATTTAATGTGTAAGACGATAAAAAAAATAATTAAATTTAGCAAAGTTTTATTTATTATAAAAAGTATAACATAATATAATAATACATAAAAATCCTTATTTTAAAATATCTGTCGATTTTATCCATGAATTTTGGCTTGAATCAAAACCTAACCATTTTACAAACATTTTATCTCCAACTTTTTTAATCACACGTTCAACGAAAAAGGTGTCTGGAAAATCGGTTAGTTTAATTTCCTGTTCATAAAAACCACCTAAGATTATATTATTTGATCCATCTTTTAGCTGATAAGTTACTGGATTCGTCTGTAAAACCTTTGAAACTGTAAATATTTCCGTTGTCCAATTTTTTGTATATCCTTTGCTAAATATATGTTTGTACTTAGATATTCTTACTTTATCATTAATTTTAAATTTAGGTTTACACGTTTCATTATTTATATGTACATTTAATTTAATTTTGTTTGGATCCATTCGAGCTTCACTTGGTGTACATTTGATTGTGCTATGTTTTGTATTAGTGATGGGCGATTCAGGTCGGTGAATCGATTTTTGAATCGATTTAAATCGGAATGAAAAAAAATCGGTCCAAAAAAATCGATTTTCTGAGAATCGATTCACAAAATAACAAATTTTTTAATCACTAGATGACGCTAGTGATAGGCGATTCATGTCGGTGAATCGATTTAAATCGGAATGAAAAAAATCGTTGTTTCTTATCACTAGATTGCGGTTTTAGTCATGTTTATTGTCTAGTCTGCTCTCCTTTGTGACGCCCGGGTTCATAATGATTAATATATAAAGATTTTCCATACTCATTAATGCCAGTGCGAGGAATCCCTGCCTGGTCCCTCTTGATTTCTGAGCTACAAGTGTTGTAACCGTTACAACCAACGGAACTCACCTATTCAATGGACGGGTGACAGTGCTCAAATGGTAATAGCTGATCACCGGGGGGAGGATACGCCCTTAGTTTTTTATTTCTTTTTAAATTGTATTGAATAAATTACCAATTTAAAATGTTTTTACTTAACATAATATATACATATAATGCAGAAGTACAAATACTTGCCATGTATAATAATTTTCAAGTACTTTATTGTCAAACACTTGTTAATAAAATCATAAATTGATTTAATAATTTTATTAGGTAAGTAATTATGAACACGAGGTATATTCAATTTTCAAAACTGATTTTAATTGACTAGCAAGAGTACTGGATTCCTATAGAGTATAGACTATAGAAGTCTCAGAAGTCAGTATATTATTTGTAATAACTAATAACAAAAGAATCTAATAGATACATTATTGAATTTCGCCATTATCAGAAGTGGGCAAATTGATGAGAAAAAATATTAGTTATATTAATAGTTAACAAACAATATATTTAACACTAAAATTGTAATTATAAGAAAATGTTTAACTTGGTTAAAAAATTATTAATAATTTATGTTTAATTACCACTTAGGCAGGGCTGGAAGTAGTTAAATGTTAAATCTATATACAAAAATTGACTCAATACAGATAATAACAATATACTTATATACATATTTACAAATAATATACAAAACCGTACAGATTACATTGAATATTATACAATATATTTATATACATATTTACAAATAATAACAATATACTTATACAATATAACAATATACAATAATATACAATATACTTATATACATATTTACAAATAATATACAAAACCGTACAGATTACATTGAATATTATACAATATATTTATATACATATTTACAAATAATATACAAAACAGTACAGATTACATTGAATATACAATATATACAGTAAAAATAAGTTTTTAATTATTCTAAGTGCCAGTCATTAATATCAAGAGAGCTCAGAAATAAAAGTTGTTGTAATTTCTTTCCCTTCAATCTATTTCTTTTTTCTGTCATTATGTTTCCAGCCTTCGAAAACAAACGTTCTGAGGGGACGGAAGTTGCAACAACAGATAAATAGGGTTGTACAATTTTTTTTAGGTGAGGGTACATATTACCATTTTGGTCCCAATATTTAAGGATATCTTCACCTAATGGTATCGTTGGATGGTTTAAATAATGTTTCAAGTCTGTGGGAATTCGCTCTTCAGACTGTTCAGAAGTTACTGATGCAGCTTTTTGTGTAACCAGCTCAGTGTGAACTGACCACAAACTATCATCACCATCATCATCACTAGAGCCATGGCATGACGAGGAGTTAATATCATCACAGCTATTTCTGACTTCAGTGATTTTATTTTTAATTAACCTAATAGCCCTTGCACTACAGTTAGGATTATTTAAATGAATCGTTTTAAATCTAGGGTCTAGTATAGTGGCAACACTTAGCAAACTAATTTCCTCCATCCTACCAAATCGTTTGTCTAGATTTTCTAACATAGCCTGCTTTAATGTTAAAGCGATTGGATTTGATATATTTATGCTCTCAGTTTTTTGTATAAGGCAATTAATTAACGGTATTACCTTGCTGCTAGTAACATATTTCTGGCCACATAACTCTCTTGTTGCCACTTCCATCGGCCTCAACACTGACAACATTTCTTTTGCCAAATCAATTTCGTCAGCTGTTAGCATTGTAGGGCCTCCACGCATATTAATCAATACCGAAGCTATATGGTTAGAACACAAGATAAATCTTTCAATCATGTAATAAATAAAACCAGTTCGTCGTCCATATGAATTTCAAACAAAATCTTTAGTAAGTGATTATTTACCATGCAAACATTGCTTAGGTATGTTAAAAAAAAAATATTTGTACAGACATTTTAAAATATGTAAAAATGTGAAAATTCGAACTAAAAAAAGAAATCAAGCTCAGGCAGATGGCCAAAACCTTTTATTTTCATTTACAGACACAGATGAACAATTAGTAAAAAATGTCTTTCCTAGAATGGCTGCTGATAAAATATCTTTTGTAGCCAAGTCGGACAAGTTTTTAAAAGCTTTTGGATCTAGGTACTTAAAGAGTCACAAAGAAAAACATTTAGTCACTGTAGTCTCTCAAAAAATGAGAATTTTGGCTCATGAGAAAGTGAAAATAATGAAATTTGTTATCTTGAAGACTGTCTGAGTGTCTGACACCTAAATATTTTGATTCCACTGTAAAATATTCAATGCAAATAGCCAACTATAATAAACTAACAGATAGCTTTGCATCTCCATCCATAATTTTAAAACTTGGATATTTAATTAAACAATGTTGCGATATTGCAGAATTTATTATATTAAAAGAACAAGATGGTCAATACGAAAAAATCAAGCAAGTACAGAATATGAAATATTTGATGGAAACACAATGGTCTCATGAAATATCTACCAATGCTTCAAAGGATATAACCCAGAAGAAATGGAATAAGCCAGCAATTTTACCCCTAACTTCTGACATAAAGTTATTTAGAGATCATTTATTAAAAGTTGAAATCGAATCTTACAGCATATTAAAAACAAATCCTGAAAATGTACAAGCCTATTGTGATCTACAGGATAGTATACTAGCCCAGTTAATTCTGCTTAACCGTCGTAAATCAGGTGAAATTCAACGAATACTTCTTAATACATACACTAATTCCTCATTAGAAATTTCAAAAGAAGTTGTGCAGGCTTTATCACCTATGGAAACAGAACTAACAAAAAATTTTAAACGCATTGTAATACGAGGCAAACGTGGAAGAGGAGTAAAAGTTTTGTTTACACCCCACATACAAAAGCGATTACAATACTTGTTGCAATTAAGACAAATTGTTAGCTTTATAAATAAAAACAATCCATATCTCTTTCCATTAACCCAATCATCGAATAACTGCGTGAGAGCATCTGATGTTATCCATAAATTTGGAAATGATTCTGGAGCTGAACACCCTGAAAACATAACTTCAACTAGATTAGGGAAGCATGTCGCTACTGTGACAAATACTAAATTTATCAGAAGGGGACATTGAACAACTGTCAGCATTTATGGGACATTCCATAAATGTCCACAAAGAATATTATAGGATCTCTGACAATGCATTCCAGGTATATATTAAAATATTTTCATTTATCATTTCCATAAATTTAATTATTATATTTATAGTACTTAGTACCTACCTATAAAATAATGTGTAATATGTAATTTTATTTTTTTGTTTCAGGTTGCAAAAGTAAGTAAGCTGTTATTGATGATGGAAAAGGGTAAAGGCAAAATGAGTATCATGGAAAGAGTCTAGACGAAATAAACATTAACCTTGATTAATTATTATCCGGCGAAGAGGAAGAAGATTCTGCAGAAGAATATGAAGAATATGAAACAAATGAAGAAAATAGAATTAATCTGAATCAAGTAACACCTCTTGAACCCACTTTAAACAAGTCAAAATCATCTAGAGAAGATTCATTAAAACAAGTCTCCAACAATGTAAAACTGACAATAAAAGGTTCAAAAAAAAAAGAAAATAATTGTTGTACCGTGGTCTGACGAGGATAGAGCTATAGTCACATCACACTTAAAAAAACATATACTTTTAGGTAAAAAGGTAAAGCACCTAAAAAAAAATGAGTGTGAACAGTTGATGAAGTTATATCCTCAAATAAACAAACACTGAAAAAAAATTAAAGACTTCATACACAACAAAATAAATTCTCTAAAAAAAAAATAAACAAGTTAGTAGTATAAGTGTACCATTCCTGGCCCACCTCCTATTTTTATCAATAAAAGATCACAAATAAAACAATGTGCAAAAAGATCACAAAATTGAAATGCAATAATAATTAAAATATTTTTCATACAATTAACCTTACCTTTTTCATTTTGATTTTTAATCAAGTCTTTGAGGTGGCTTAAAAAATTATTTCTATAGTTGATTATATTCATAAAAAATCCAAAAACCACAGAAAATGATTTTACACTATCAGACTTTGAGGGGGTTTTATAAATAATTAAAATTAAAATTGTTAAACAAAAAAATGAACATTTGATCATAATTAGGGACAAATTTGTACTTAAAACAAAAATCTGAAGTAGAGGGAAAACATTTAATATGTAGTGTAAATGGTTATATAAATCATATCTCTGTTGTACTCACTTCTTTTTATTAATTTTTCAATGAAATATGAGACTTTTAACAGAAAAATTAAAAAAAAAAATTACAACAATCTAAAATTCAAAAAATATACAAAATTAACCTCGGTTGTACAGATATCTGAGCCGGCCGGCACTTTTTTTTTCCTCACACATTTTATTACAGATATCTGTACAACCGAAGCTAACAAATATTATATTTACCCGAGCGTCACAAATCGATCAGGGACGTTATTTGTAGAACTGGAGGGTCAGAGGGGGTAAGCAAACAGAGGTGATAAGAGCAGGTGATACACCACGTGAAGGTTTAAATTCCTCGATATAACACACCAACGAGCAAACCATACACAATTGTCCGTAGCGCCGTAATTACCGGCTCTACCCACTCTATCCCCTCCAATTCCAATCCTACTATGAATGCATTCAAAGCCTAAGCCTTACCGACCGAGCCACAACACTCGGACATGATGTATAGCTTTTAAATACTATTTAAACAGTTTAATTTGCCACTGATTACATTGATTTAAATATCACCCTATATATATATATATATATAATAAGTAATATTGTCACTCTGTAAATAATAATCATATTTATATGATAGATAATGTGAACAGGACGTGTACGTAATAATAATTCTATATAACTGAACATACATGTATATTACAATTATTACGTATTAAATTGAATAATATTGAACGTCGATATCTACGTTAGACGTTAGATGATAGATGTTAGATGTTAGATATTTACGTTAGACGTTAGATATTTAACGACATGTTACATTATTTGAAATAAATATAATTTAAAAATACGATTAATAAATAAAAACATTTTTATTATAAAGAATAGAAATGGAAAATTTGAAAACACTTTTAAATAAACTCAACGTTCAATATGAGTTTGTAAAACTATGTGATTTAGAAAAAGGAAAAAAATATTAGATTACTCGTTTCAAATATGTTGATACAAGTTATGGTAATACAATAGTTGTTATAATAGATGATAAATTTCAAGTATTTTTACCAAATAGATATTTAGAGGTGTTTACCAAAGGAAATATGTTATTGTGTAATCAAAAATCGAAAACTAAATTTAATCTTATTTATAATGGATTGTGAAATTTAGATAATGGAAGCACTATGCATTTGATAACATTTGAATGAATTATTTAAGTAATTTTTTTAATAAATGGTATTTATTAAACTTAAAAACAGTTGTATTCAGTAGTATATATTTGTATGTTCACAGTTCGTTTTTCCACGGTAATTTTTTTTGTTCAAGCTGGAATGTTCCCCTCGGACGACTCAGAATTACCGTATCACACAATACGGTGATTTGACACTTAGTGTTCACCTATTTACCCCTCACACGAAAATATTTACCATGTACAAAAAACTATATTTTTTCATTCATGTTGGTTACACTGTTTTTTTAAATTTGATAAGCAACTAATTAATTACGAAATAATTTGTTTTTTTATATCTGAATTTTTTAAGTTACTCGTTTTTTTTTTTATTATTCAGTAATAAATGATTTGTTTTTTTTTAAAGTTGTGTTTTTTCAAGTTACTTAATCAGTTTATAAAAAATGAATTTACAAAAATATATCAACGATTTTCAATCATTAGTTTACCGTGTACGAAGTAATTCGACTCTAGCGTATCCAGAATTTTCTTCTCTCCATTCACGTTTAAAAACTTACAAAAAATTTCCTGAAAATTTTTTTCAAAATAAATACGATCTTTCTGAGTGCGGATTAAAATATTCTGGTATTGATGATATCGTTGAACGCTTCTGCTGCGGACTTATTCTTCATAATTGAGAGAAGCTGGACAATCCATGGATCGAACATTGCAGATACAACCCAAACTGTGATTATGTACTATTAATGCGATGAAATCAGTTTGCTAAATATTGTAAAACTGAACATAATATGTGTACTTGTGAAAATATGTCATACGATACAGTTTGTTAAATTATGTATATGTCATACTTGGTAATAAAAAAAAAATATTGATTCGTAAACGACTTATATGTGTTAATATTTGATTTAATATTTCGTGGGCGCATGGCTTAGCGGATTAACACGTGTAGTTTAATTTAAAATAATTTCAGGTAAGTAAGTATATGTAATTCTCCCCCTTCCTGTATTCGATAATCGGCTATGTCATGGGTTCACACTTTTTGAATTTTTTTTTCCATAAAAATCTTAAATAAATCTACAAGATTTAGTATATAATATGCTTACAGAAGAAAAAAATTGTTAGTTCAAATTATACCCTCTGTCGGACATATTATACCTTATTTTTTTCATTTATTTGAAAAAACAATATTCGTCATGGCTCCAGCAATAATTGTGTCGAAATCAACTTTCGACATCCGCCCATTTGGTAAGAAGAATGTTACAGTTGGTTTATTAATTAGTAAACAAATTTTGATTATTGTATCATTTGAATGCAAGTTAACGAAAAAGATAATAACACTAAATTTACAGCAATGGTTTACCCTTATGTCCG